TTAAATAATACAAATTTCCCCATGTAGCTCTGTGGGGAGAACCATGGAGGAATTTAAAACCTCTGTAACCGTGGCAGCCCACAAAAAGATCACCTTTGAACTCACTTATGAGGAACTGCTGAAACGCACCCATGGAAAATACGAGCTACTAATCCATGCTCAACCCATGCAGCCTGTGAAAGACTTCAAGGTTTTTAGATTGTTCTGAACATCTTGTTGTGTGATGTGTCCTGTGAAGATAGATGTTTCTAACTGGCTGGTTTGTTTTATTTTACTCACAATCAGGTTGATGTGTATATTCATGAAAAAGCAGGCATCAGTTACATTGGTGTGAAAGGAGGACTTAGCACCAAAGCTTTGGCCAATGCCATCACCAAAACCCTTGCAGACAAACAGGTACAGTTGGTTTCAATGTGTTTTTTTTTTCTTCTTTTTTACAGTTAACAAACTTGCAACCAGTGTTCCCTCTAAACTGCGCGCTTGCACAAGTGTGCACTGCTCACACAATTGCACTCTGCAACATTCTCAGCTAACAAGAAAATTTATACAGCACATAAAATAAAATCCAATATAACATGTAAATCAATTAGACGGACAAAATGGAGAAACTAAGAAAAGTTTTTGCTTGCCATAAACATGTTAAATACAATAATAATAATAATGATAAAAGTGTACAGGGAATACATTAATCTTCTTTATTCATTATTTAATTTGGGCTCTTACAACATCTCAGCCAGCTGGAAGTGTAAGCTGGCTTTATTGAATCCACAAAACATAGTTTTTCTGGCACATAATATAGCTACTCTTCAATGCCATTCTCGTATACCACTATTAATTAAGTTGTAAAATAAAAGAAATTACATTTAAGTATTGTAGTTAGATTAATATATGTTTAATAAAACACTGTCCTTTAAAAAAAGTTCAGCAAATATTTTTATTCAGCACATCAAAAACTGCTACAGGTGCATAAATAAATAATCCAACAGGTGGAAGAATAATCCCTAATTACCAAATACCCCAAATACCAAAATTATTTACCAGTCTAAGCTTCCAGAACAACAAAGCTCACCCATTTGTAACAGCTCTGCTATCCAACATGCTCACAGTTTAAGACACACTTTTTAAAATGTATATAATGAAGCAAAAATGTTAACTTTTTATCAGGACATTCCCAGGTAGGTGCCTTGGAAGTACTTAGATGAAAGGAGCTAAAGGAGATCTCACAGCTTGTGGATTTTTTGCTACATGGCGGCATCCTGCGATTATTGTGAAAGAAGATATAGAGTAATAAATCCTATCAAAACCGCATCCAAATAGCTCTT